TCAAGTCTTCACTTGTATCTTCGTTGGCATCCTCGTTACCACCCCCTGTATCGACAGGAGGGTTATTGGCATTGTGAGCTTCATCCCTATCTGCGTGCTCCTTTTCCTGAACAACATGATTACGGCGGTTCGATTCACTTTGCTGGTTCCTGAATGCATGGATTTGCTGCTCATGCATCTCTCTCATCTGCTGCATGGCCATCTCCATCTCGAATTTGAAACTTTCTTTCTGCTTAGCCAAAGCGTCTTCAAGCATCTTGGCCATTTCTTCCGCGCTTATCATAAATGACTCGCGGGGTTGTCCTTCGCTGGACACTGTATTGTCCGATGCGACAGCAGAGCAGGAATCCGATTCTTCATCTTCCGAAGGCAATCTTGTCCGAACCCTACCATAAGTTCCTCGTGCGATGGCTCCGGACTGCAGACGGGTTACACGCCGGGACGCTTCCAGAAACGATTTGAGATCAATCTGTGTCGATGTCTCTTTGCTGGTCATGTTGGCGGTGACCCTCGGAAATTCTCCGTCTTTAACCACCGTTCTTCTTTGCCGGAAACGCCTATGCCTTGGTTTTGGCGTTTCGGTGCCGAGCCTTTCGAACACTGAAATTCTCTCGGGGATTACCTTGATGCAGTTGCATTGAGACAGTACCGCCCGAATGAGCTTTGAACAAGGGCACTGAGTTTCCTGTTCTCGGGGACTCCTCTTTCTGGTTCTGTTCGTACCCCCAGCACGATAGTACAACTCGTCATTTTGACAGTCAGAGTAACCTATCGTGTGTGGGCACGACTTCTCAGGTATAACATTATCACTATCAGATGATAATGTTTCCATCTGAGGGCGAATTGCCTTCCTTGGACTTTCAAGAGTCACGCGCCTTGAGACATGCCTTTTTGGGCGTGAATTCTCAGCGGGCTCTTGGACCTCAATGCGCAAATTAGCGCGCGCAGTTGCCTTGAGCTCCTTGTCATGTTGGAGGTAGCGGTGACCCCCAGCGTGTTGATTCGTTCGGGGTTTTCTTAGTGGGCCCAAACGTTCTTGGATCGGAGCTTTGCTTCGCTCATCGGGAATTGGACCGAGGCGCTCCAAGACTGGCTTTCTTCTTCGGGAGGATTCTGCATGATCTCCCGGAGTAGCTATGGGAATTCTCGGCGACTTAGCTGGGTTCGCCGGAGGTTGAATTTTGGTTGGAGGCTGCAAAGGTTGCTCCTTAGCCTGAATTGCCGCTTCAGACTTTGGCCTCCAAACTTTGCGAGTTGGTGGCGGCTTCTTGGCCACTTCTTTCTGCAACTTTCTACGGGCTTCTTCGGCTTGAGCCCGTGCCTGCGCTGATAGTGCGCGGCGTTTGCGGATGCGTTCTTCCAGCGTCGAACGATTCCGTTTGACACGGATCCATTCCATTGTTGGCGGCTTGGAAGAGGTGCCGTTCATCTGTTGTTGAGGCTGTTTGCCTCTCTTGTTCTTCAGACCCGCGTTGTAGCGGACTCCGTCGGTGGACTCCATCGCTTTGGCGAATTGTTTGGCCAAGCGTTGGCGTTGCCTTTGGCGGGCTCTCTTTGAGAGAGTCACCGCTCCTTTGGTGACGGAGGAATTGGTTGGAACCAGCTTGATCTGGTTGGAGATTGGTGGAGCCTCATCTGACGCAACTTTGGCGTCAATCGAGATGAGGTCGTCGTTGGTAGCTTCAACTTCTTCGTACCAACGCACCTTTCTGTTGGAAGAGAACTTGGACTTCTTGGACTTGCGGGGGGAGGTTGATCTAGACGAGGATGAAAGGTATTCCTCGAACTTGGTCTGATCGAACTCGTATTCGACCTCCTCCACGACTGGGATCAAGATCCGCGGCTGCGACGCTCCGATCTCGGCAGCGAGATCGGTGGCTCCCACTGTGGTCGCCAGATTGTTCGCTGGAAAATTCGTGTCTTTCTTTGTTATTGATTCCATTGTCATCTTGAGTTACAACTTTTTGAGTTACAAAAGATCCGGTCTTTTTATAAGATCCGGTTACAACGAAAATCAAATAAAAATAAACAAAGATTACAACTTTTCTCCTTTTGTGTCGAACGAATCGCGAGCTCCTGTTTTGCGGTCGCTCGCTTTGTGGGTTCTTTGCCTGCGCCGGGGTTGTTTGCCGTGGACCACCGCGCGATCTAGATCCGGTCGGATCTACGCAGTACAACGGGTATTATTTCACCAAGGAAATAATAGCCGGGGAGGATTGTTTCACCAAGGAAACAATCGTCCAAGTCTCGGGATCTAAGACCAAGCTTAGATCCGGAGTATGCCTGCGTAGATCTGAGATCTGATCCTCTCGAACACCTGCCTTATTTGACGTTGATGATCGCCGAGCACCAGATCTGAAGGAGTGAGTCCCCGAAGTCCCAAAGTTTCAATCTTTTTTAAGTTCCGAGTCTCCAATCCAGCAGGGCTTCGCCTCTCTCCAAAATTTCCAACCTTC